GGGAAATGCTTGCCAAATCTGTATGCTTGGGAACAGGAGACTGTGTGTGTGTGTGTGTGTGTGTATCTGGCAGACAGTTGTGTGTAATGAGGGGAGTTTTGTTTGTTCACAGGAATGTTTGGAAATAATATTTGGTTTTAGACTAAGGATTAGACTATGCTTATATTTCTAATGATTCGAGAAGGCACAGTGCCATTAAAGTTCCTCACAACACAGAAAAGCAAACCTTATTCCGTATGTAAAAACCTGTTGATGTTGCAAGAGAATTCCTCTGATGTCATTTGCCAAATTTTCTGCTCAGGTAAACCCCCATTCTCTGTCTCAGCATGTTTTGGTATCCTTTTAGCCAACAGCTATATCATTCTTACGTGGTTACATATAAAGTCGCAGTCTTCCCCCACTTTAATCTCAAAGCAAATGAAAGGAGGACTTTGAGACAAATTGCTCCAAGCTGCTGCACACTCAGACTTGACAGTAACTTTAAGACAGGGCAAGGTTCAGTTCTGTCTGCCACCTTTATAACTCATTGGTTACACGTCACTTCTAGACTTCGATATTGTACGATAATAAGTAGGAGTCTCTTGTAATTAACGGAGTGAGTCACTGATGCCAAGTTTTGTTCTTTTATTTATGTCACAGTCAGAATAGTTAAAGCAGTTGTTGAAGACTGCAGCAAAAGCACAGTTATTGTGACATTTGGAATGAAATTATGATCCATTTGCCTTTCAAGTGGTTGCTGTGAAAATGGGAACTGGGTCAGTCAGTCTGCTTATTATTTGCATACATTCAATAATCTGTCAACAGTATGTCTGAATCGGACCACTGTTACATGGACAGAGGTTTGCTACAAGTTGACCTGTGCGATCGCCTTGTGATCAAAAGTGGTTACCCAGAGGTAAAAGACATTACACACTCAGTCAGGAAGTCAGTCAGCTCTTACTGGTTACAAAATGCCAGAAAATTCAGAGAAATACCCAGGCAACCACCAATTTTCCCCATCACTGCAAGGAGGATGAGACCCTATATTTACTGGAGATGAACAAGATCCAATTCTAAAAATGTTTAATACGTCAACATGTGGCTTCATTCTTGCACCTCTGCAGCTGCGTGCCCTCAAGAAAAAGTTTGATTAAGTCCATATTTCTTCTGCAGCAAGTGAATAGCCTCAAATGATGTAGTTCAGACAGGAATGCTGAGTTAGTGGCATTATATAAGCTTTTGATGAGCTTAACTAATGTGGAAACTTCAGTATCGATGCTGTCTTTTTTTCCTTCTTCAGTGTGAAAATTTTAAGAAGGGTTCTGCCATCTACAATAATACAGGTCAAAACTTTCATATGATATAAAAGTGTCATATCCTTTCTAGCACACACAAACAAGACAAGGCCCAACATGTCCAACAGTGAGAACCGTGTCATGGAGCAATTTTGGGAACCCGTGGCAAAGCACACTGCTTTAAATACGCAGAAAAATGAAAAACAAGATGAACTACCCCTGATAAAGGTGGAAATAAATTTGTTTCATGATTTAAGGCAAAACACGCGCCATCAAGGCTACAAAGGCGGAGATACTAGCAGTTGATGATTCCACTGAAAACTGCTAACTCCAAATGAGAGGAAGCACAATGGTGAATGGAAAGCATCTGGTGGCAACATCCCAGGTAGAAAATATTTTTTCAATTTCAGTTTTATTACGAGAGAATATAGTGCAGGTTCTCTAAAGAGGAACAAAGATATGTTACTTTATTTATTTTTAAACTAAGACATTAAGCGGTTATGCTATACATTTACTTACAATTTTAAAGGAAAACTCTACCTAGGCTATTTTTGTACTTACGTCTGACTTATGCTGTGTTACTAGATATTTTCCCATAAATAAAATGCAAAAATTCCAATTTCAGTTCTGGGTTAATTTCAGGCACTTTATCTCGCACCTACTTCAAAAGTCCGTAATTTTTCTATGTCAGATTTGGTCATCAGTTGCAACGCTTGTCATTTTGACCCATTTCAGTTCGAGGGTCAGTCATGCATTTACCTCTGTGAGCAAATCACTTCTTGGTGTATTCCCTTTCATTGAGCGTACTGTTATCAATTCTTCTGTAATCTCAAATTCTTTCATTTTCCCATGTGCAATAACTGGGAATGATTGAATAACTTGACTCACAAATGTCACAGCTGTTGTCCAGTGCCAAGAAGAAAAAGTCGAAATGTTTGCTTTGTTTTTCAACCAAAGCTCCAGATTCTTTGGAGTGTCTTCAATCCATCTTGTTGAGGGTCGCTTGATGGTGGCACGTTGTCAAATTCTTTTTTATTTTTACCCCTCAAGGCACATTAGCACGGCAGAGTCCACCAAACACTTGTTCATAAAAATCCTGAAAAGATCATGGCTCACTGTTTTTTGCGATTTTGTGGGAAATCCAAAGCTGGTCTTGACTACTCGATCCCTGTGTAAAGCTTGGTAAAAAAAAGAAAAAAAAAAAAGATCGTTGTTGCTTTTGCAGCTTTGCTGCCAAAGGTTCAGATGTCTGTTGCAGCTCTGCATCAGTCAACATCTTGAATTTCATGTGCATATGCTTGCACACACGTAAGTAAATAAAAGAAAAAAAATTTCTGGGGCTATTTTAGCAGTCCTACAAAAAACACACACACACGAAAAACAAAAACAGTAAGCTGTTCTCTGATAGGTAATTTATTAAAGAGTGTCTGGTGACCAAAATGGGCAAAACTGTATAATGTTTAGGATTCAAATGTAAGTAGTTTATTTAAACCAAATGGCCAGACGTGGTTTGCAGGCCATAAAATGCTATGAACCGCTGTATACATTGCTGTGTCACTATTATTTCACTATAACCAGTGTTGGGAAAGTTACTTTTACTACAGATTACAGAATACATGTCCCAAAATGTAGTTTGTAATGTATTCTGTTAAGTTACTCAATGTTAGTAACATATTCTGAATACTTTGGATTACTTAATATATTGTCATGCTTTTTACAACTACATGAATGTAGCAATCACATCCTGCAAATTCTTGTTTGTTTTTCTCCACCAATTGGCTGTTAAGCCCAAATCTCCCTGAATAGACAATATATTTACTGTAGAGGAGCATCCTAATGGGTCCATTGTGTAACTGACGCCACCAATGCTTACATTAGAGCCTCTTATTGCGTGTTTTGTTTGGGTTTCTGGCAATGCATTTAATTACCAAAATTAGGGAGGGGATAGCCTAACATATGAAACAGGAAATGACTGCCTTGTAATCCATTTATTTCAACAAAATAACTATATTCTAATTATAACTTCATCACATCATTTAAATGGTAATTGTAATGAAATAAAGTTACTCATATTTTGTATTTTAAATACGTATATATGCCGTTATTCCCCAACACTGACTATAACACTGTTGTTGGTGGGACCTTGTAGCAACAGATAAACATTTTATTGTTTCATATTAAAAATAGTCACCTACATCTAATTCAAAATGAATGCTGAATATTCTGAAGTTTTTTTTCTGGATTATCCTCACACTGATCAAGGAAGACTCCTCGGGATACAAAGGAATGTCTGATTCCCTAGTTCTCACTTGATTCATTGGCTCAGTAAACATTTTCCTTATTAGTTTATGGTTACAACCACTAGCCATAACTCTTCTTTACTACAGGATGTTATACATTTTGTAAATCATGGTCCCCCGTTAATGTCAAACAGACAATAAAGCTTGGTTTGCTTTATGGGATGACTTTTGATAGACAAGTCCCTAACATATGAGCTAGCAGTGTCCTCAGTTTCTGATTCAGATCTACCCTTTGTTAATCACAAACTCACAAACTTCCTTAAAAGCAAGAGTTCAAAACTAAATTGAGATGTATATATTAAAATAGTGGAATTATGTGGAACTTTTTTAAAAGTACAGGAGGCTTAAAAAGTTCTTGCTCTTCCGACTCCTACCATGTAGCCATTGTTAGAGAGGAAATATCCATCAAGCTGTATTAAAAGCTATAGGAAATAGGCTTTAAAACAATACTTATGCATTCATCCGTACACTTCCACTTCTCCAAATTCAGGCTCCTAGAGCCTATCCCAGCTGACCTTTCGTCAGTCTGTTGTGGTAATGTTTTATCACTGTTTTAACATAATGTACTTTTACAAGTCTACAGCTACTGTCATGTGCTGGGTTGTACTATGTACAGAGCTGAGAGTGAAAATACAAGGAACTTGCAAGCTTTGAAATATCTCCATTTGGACATTTATTTTTCAAGCATCTAAGTTGCTTATTTTAATTTAGTGGGCGTTTAATTTGTTTTATTGTTACCATTATTCCAGAGCAAGGATGCTTCAAGTTTTGATAATCAAGCGATGATTTAGGGAGGCAGCATATTTGGGAGACCCACAGGACAAATGTATTTTTATACTCTGTTACAGTATTTAAGTAACTCTAAAAGTTGGATTTCTTAAAATCACCTGTGTCAAATGTTAGAAATGGATAGTCTGCTTCAATGGGTGTACAGGCGATGCTTTTAAACGCCATTTCTTGGAAGTGATGTTGAACCAATTGCAGGATATTTATTACAGGAGTGTGTAATTAATGTATTATTGTGGGAAGGCTTGAATTATACAGCTCTCTGAAGGTAGGAAGGTTGGCAATCATTCTCTAGTGTATGTTTGATTATGTATGTGCATGTGTGTTGCAAGAGAGGAAAACAAATGACAGAAACCATCTGTGAATGGATCAACAAATCTGCAGGCAGGTCATGTTCAGGGG